ATTCATTTAGTCATTCCTTTAGAGTGTTTGAACTTCTTAGAACTTTTAACTTCTGAGAACTTAGATGGATGTTGAAGACAAGAAAAGGAATGAGACAGCTCACTGTCAAAAATTGTAATTCTTGGATTCCTAGGGAACTATAAGATGTCCCATCAATTTTATAACCTGTTCTTAAAAATAAAAAAGAAAGATGACTACATTAAACATTCACACTGATTGCATGACTCGGGGAAGACACGCCTGTCCTGGGAGCTTCTGGGGTAGGTTCAGATCAGAGCCTGGAAATGAAGGAGACGAAGGCAAAGATCCAGACTGTCTCTGGGTTTTAGGCCACAGACCCCAGAGCTTTAGTGCCAGAAGAGAGCTTGAAGATCAGTATGCACAGCACCCTCTCCTGAGAAACTGAGGCACAGAGATGTTGGGGGCTTGCCAATTGACGAGAGATTAGTTGAGTCAGGACTGGAACTTGAACCCAAGTCTTCTAATGCGCTGCTGATGTTCTTTCCAATACTTCATCATCAATTTTAGAATAGATCCTCCTCTAAACTCTTTTCCTTTCCAAATTCTTTACCCCTGCTGGTTCCCATCCTTAGACAAGATGTCGTGCGTGTGTGTGTGTGTGTGTGTGTGTGTGTGTGTGTGTGTGTGTGTGTGCTGTTGGATTCCACAGGAAACAGACTCTGAGGCATAGATTTGCATAGGAGGCTTACTGGAGGCATATTGGAGAGATTTACAGGAGGTATATTGGTGCTCTCAGGAACAGCACCTTAAAGGAACTAAGGGAGGCAGGACTGGGCAGAGAGGTTGAGGCCTCAGCCTATCCTACACAGTGCTCTGGAGCTGAGATGGTCAGTCCCTCAGAGTTCTAGATCAACGCTAGGTGGCAGGACCTTCAGACTTTCCACACTGAACCCTCACTGGATGCAGGGGGTATAACTATAGGCAAGATAGTTCCCTTCAGTTAAGAGCAAAAATCAGTGGGTTAAAATCAAGGTATTGGCAGGATCCCACTCCTTTCTGGAGGCTGTAGGGGAGAATCCGTTTCTGTGCGTTTTCCAGCTTCTAAGGGGGCTAACCACATTCCTTGCTTGTAGCCTCCTTCTTCATCTTAAACACCAGAAATGTCGCATCTTGACCTTTCTTGTGTCCTCACATCTCTCTTCCTGAGGGAAAGGTCTCTCCTTTGAAGGACTGTATGAGTAGTTAAGGCCCACCTGCATGATCCGGGCTTCTTTCTCCAGCTCTACCTCCTTAACCTTACTCACGTGTACCAAGTCCCTTTGCCATGGAAGTAACGTTCGCAGGTTCCAGGGATCAGAATGTAGACATCTTTGTGAGGCCATTATTCTGCCTACCATAGTCTGAATTAAACATTTTTGGCAAGAATACTTCCTATGTTCACAGCAGCATTATTCACAGTAGCCAAAAAGAGGAAACAACCCAAATATCCGGCAGCTAATGAATGGATAAATACAGTGTTGTACACCCATACAATGGACTATTGTTCAGCCATGAAAAGGAATGAAGTGCTGATTCATGCCATAACATAGATGAACCTTGAAACCATCATGCTACGTGAAAGAAGTCGGACTCAAATGCACACATATGTATGATTCCATTTATATGAAATGTCCAGAATAGACAAATCTATAAAAACATAAGGGAGAGTAATGGTTCCAAGGGCTGAGGAGGGGGAAATGAGCAGTGTCTGCTAATGGGTGTGGGATTTCTTTTTGGACTGATAAAAATGTCCCAGAATTGATTGTAGTGATGGTGAAACAACTATGTGAATAAACGAAATGCAATCATTAAATTGTGCACTTTAGAGAGGAGAATTTTACAGCATATGAATAATACCTTAACAAAGTTGTTTAAAAATGCCTTACAGATGATGCTATATTGTTCACTTTGTATCACACCAGGAGGCACTTTATATCTGGTTGTCCTTAGTAATGAGAATCGCTAAGGTTAAACTCTGGGGTAAGGTGGTGACAACTGATGAAAATATATATATTTTTTAGATTTTATTGGGGAATTGGGGGAGGGAAACAGTGTTGGGGAAGGGGAACAGACAAGTTGCTGTCCTTTTGTTCTTCAGTCTAGTTATGGAGGACGTCACTTCACTGGCTCATGTTGGTATTATCATTGCGCTCTTCCCGGCTGAGGCAGTCGCTCACTGGCCATTGGACGGCCGCTCACGGCACCTTATGGCAGCTCACGTCACCTGCTGGCCCGCTCCACCGCAGCTTACGCCGTCGCCGGCGACTCACAGCAGCCCAGCTCCAGGTTGAGCTGTTGTTCAGCATCTTAGCTGTAGAGGGCAGTGTCACTGGCCCTCATATGTAGGATCCGAACCGGGGCCCTGCTGCTCGGAGCTGGCATCCCAAGCCAAGCCAACTCAACCAACGCACCACTGGGCTGGCCTTGGAAACTATATTTTTAACAAGTACTTCAGAAAAGTTATCTACCTTACAGGAATAATACTACCTTATAAGAATGTTACGGGGATGAAATTAAAATGTGATATATTTAGTAAATCATAAATATGGTAGGTAGAAAAAGCCCCTACCCCCACCCCGGAAGAAAAATGTTCACATCCTGATTCCTGAAATCTATAAATGTGTTATCTTTACATAGTAAAAAGAACTTTGCGCATGTGATTAAATTTAAGGATCTAGAGATGGGGAAATTACTTTGTATTATCTGGGTGAAATCTCAGAAGCTTGAAATCCTGACTCAGGAAAAATGTTTTAAACAGTAGTTCTGTTCAACATTGCAGTATTTTCATTCAGCAACATTAGAAAGAACATTTACCAATATTGATTGTTCCTACAAGGAAATACAATTCAGCTTTCTCACATTCCAAAGACCTGCTCCTCTTCTACCATTCCCACCTAGTTAATGGCATCTACCATTCACCCAGTTGTCAAGACAAACAGGAGTCCTCCTAGATGACGAGGCCTTCTCTCTTACTTTCATGCTCACGCACCAGTTCCAACTGATTTTACCTCCTAAATATTCCTTCAAATTTACTCTCATCTTCTCCATGCCACTCGGGACCTCAACTTTTGTCTGGACCATTCTTTCCTCAAATATTTACTAAATATTTGCCTCTTATGAGCCAGGCATGATTCTTGGCGTGTGGAATCTAATAGAGGGGTAGGGGATGAGAATATAAAGCAGGGAGGCAATTTAGGAGGCTATTACAATAATCCAGGTGAGCTGTTGGTAGCTTAGACACAGGGTGATGGATGGCACTGATCTAAGGTAAGAGAGAAAGAGGACTCAACAATCTCCAAGGATTTTGCCTTGGGCACTGGAAAGATGCCAGAGGCTGAGATGCAAGAAATAGTGTTGGGGGAGAGACCATGATTGCCTATATCAATATGTAGGCAAAATATATATATATATATATATATATATATATATATATATATATATATATACAGTCAGATATATAAGCCTGGAGTTCAGGCAGGCAAAAGATTTGGACTGGAGATATACATTTGGAAATCATCTAGTATTTAAAACCAGAAGACTGGATAAGATCAAGGGAATGTGTAGACAGGACCAAGAAGTGGGCTCTGGGGCACTCCAACATTAAAAGGTAAAAGGGATGCAACTAGCAAAGGAATTTGAAGAGGAACAGTCAGTAAAATGGGAGGAAATCAAGAGAGTGTGGTATCCTGGAAGCCATGTGAAGAAAGTGTTTCCAGGAGGAAGGAGCTATCAATTGAGCAAATGCTGCAGGTGGTCAAGTAAGTTTAGGAATGAGAGTTCAGTATTAGATATAGTACTTGGATTTCATTGCTGACCTTAAGAAAGGCCTGGAAAAGGCTGGTTTAAGACAGAATAGAGAAAAATTAGATAGAATGCTCTTGATTTTTGCTGTAAAGGTGGGGAGAGACTCCAACCGAGTAGATAGTAGCTGGAAAGTGGAGATCAAACGAGGGCTTTTTGTGATGGAAGGAGAAATCACAAGTTTGTGTGATCGGAGAAACAACTCAATAAAGAGCGAAAACTGAAGATGTAGGAGACAGTTGCTGGAATGACGTCCTTGGGCAAGTGGTCTAGGGAAGAAGTAGAAAGTTATCCTTCCATAAGCTCAGGGACACTTCAGTTTATAGTAATAGGAAGGGAAGGCAGAATATGTGGGTACAGATGCTGCTGGTAGGTAGGGAGAGGTGGTAGTAGGGGAAACTTTTATTTACATCATTTTTCTAAATGCAGAAGCAAGCTGAGAGTGAGGATGGGGGGAGGTGTTGCACGTTAGAGGAGCTAAGAAATACTCATCTAGGACAGTAAGTGGACAAGGAATATACAGTGTTTGCGGGGCAGCAGTATGGGCCCGCTCAAGGTTCAGAGTCATGCTGGAGGTAGAGGCAGGTATGCAAGTGAGCAGCATTTAGGTCATCTCAGCAGATTGCAGCATCAACATTTAATTGAACCCATTATGTTTCATTATACAAGAATACAGGAACACAGTCTCCTGGAAAAATTCCAACGCAAAACAAAAGGCCCCTCTGCCCTTCACTCCCCCTCACCCGATCCCACGTGTCACGGAAAGGTGAAAAAAAGGAGACCCGGCCTAGATTCACAGAGAAGACACCCAGACTCAGGAAGAGGGGACCGCAAACTCGGGATCCAGCAGAGGGCGCCACGGCCTCCCGGACAACATCCTCCAGGGAGGTTCAGCCGGCCGCCCGCGCCGTCGTTTTTAAAATGGAACCCGGCACCGCCCCCCGCCCTGAGGCCGCCGGGAAAAAGGCTCCGCCCCCCACCCCCACCCCGAGGGGTGTCCTGGCGGGCCACGCGAAGATTCCGCAGAGAGAGTCGGCTCCCCCTGCCCCTTTCTCTTCTGGCTTCCTCCCTGCCAACCATTCCTCTCCAGGTACTCGAAGGGAGCCCGAAAAACGGGGTTGGAGCTGCCATTCGCCTTCCCAGGTTCTCCAACAGTCCGCGCCTCCGCCTGCCCCGCCCCCGGAAGTGACGGCAGCCACTGGGTTCTGCTGGTGTCCCGTCGGGCCTCGCGGCGGCGGCGGCGGGAAGATGGCGGCGGCGGGAGCCCTGGAACGGAGCTTCATAGAGCTCAGCGGTGCTGAGCGCGAAAGGCCGAGGCACTTTCGGGAATTTACAGTTTGTGGCGTTGGTACGGAAGCAGCCAAAGAGGGCGCGATCCGATCCTTCCTCTCGGGCTCCTCCCATGGGTCCCTAAATCTCTGATCCCCAGTTCATCCTCCTAAGTCCACATGCCTATAGCCCCGGGATCTGAGCTTCCTTAGTGTCCCATTTTTTCTTTCTCTTCTTTCCCTTTTCTTTGTATGGATTGTCAGTCCGTCATCCCCTGCTTCCTCGGCGTCCTCAGCCCCTGTCATCCCCAGAGAACCATGTGTGCAGGCTGACCACTCTCCTTTTGCAGGGACTTCAAATGCCTTGACCGGAACCGTCAAATACAGTGAGACCGCTGGAGGCTTCTACTATGTGGAAAGTGGCAAATTGTTCTCTGTCACCAGAAACAGGTTCATTCATTGGTAAGTGCTGCCTGCGTTCGCCAAACCCCGCGGGAAGGTCGAGTTGTTCGGTGTCTTGAATATTCGTGGCTGTTTGTAAAGGCTGTTCCGCTGTTCTCCGAAGCAGTAATTGACAGGAAGAGAAAGACTGTTTTCTGATCGTATCTGAATCAGGAGAAAATTAAGGAGACCAGAGTTCTAGGAGAGGTGCCCTCCCAGGGCAGTACTAAAAGCAGAGGAAATGTAGCTTAGGGATAGAGCCCCAAAGATAAATTTTAAGCATCAATCCGTTATGTTTTTATAGTGCTTTACAACTTACTGCGTTCTGCAAACATGTTTGAGCTTTTACAGGTCAGGCACTGTGCTAGGTGTGCTAGGGATTAAGTGATGAACAAAAACCACCGCCATTTTCATTATGCAAGATGTTGTAGCAGTGTTAGATGTGGACCCACCTTTCATGGGGCTGTTTAAAGAAGGAAAAAGATATTAAACCTAACGACCACAACATAGGTATAGTAATATAAATGTTTCATACTTGCCTCAGAGGAATAGTGTAGGGGCTAGGAGAGGCTAATGGGAGGACCGAATTTTATTGGTGGGGCTGGGAAGGCCTTTAAGGAAGTCATATTTAACCTGAGATCTGAATGGTTAGCCAGGCAGAGATTTGGGGGAGAGAGCAGTTCAGCAAGTGGGATCAACATATGCCAAGTCCATGAGGTGGAAAGAACTTGACAGGTTTGAGGATCTAATTGAAGGTCTGTGGCTTAAGTGCGACAAGCAAAACAAAGTGATGTGCAAGATGCTGAGACCGGGGAGGTAGACAAGACCATTATGAAGGACCATCGGGTCCTTTTTAAGGATTTTGGATTTTATCCTAAGTACACTGAAGAATTATTGAAGGGTTTTGAAGGGATACTAACATGATCAGAATTATATTTAAAAATCAGCTACTTTGTGGAAAGTGGATTTGGGTTAAATGTATGTAATACAAAAGAACAATTTGCTTTTATGATGGCCCAAGTAAGAGATGCTGGTTGCGAGAATGGCTTGGAAAAGAAATATGGATGGATTTCACGTACATTCAGAAGGTAGATTCACTAGGAGATGGTGATAGATTGACTATGGAGTGGGGGGGGTTAAGGGAAAAGGAGGGAGCAAGGACAACTCTCTGGTTTCTAGTGTGACTAACCAGATACATAGGGCAGAGGGGCTGCCATTTACTGAGATATAGAAGAGGGGTTTTGAGAGATTTGAATAATCCTTTTAGATGTACGAAATGTGAAGTATTTTCACCAGCCCTTTGACAATGTTAAGTAAGTGTTGAAATTTACAGTTCTGAGGCTCAGAAGAAAGACCTGTGTTAGAGATACAAATCTCATTTAGGTAAGAGATATTTTTGAGTTCTTAATATGGTACAGTTAATGTTTAGAGACTGGCGATATGACAGGGAACAAAGCAGTCAAAGTCCTAGCTCTCTTGGAGGGAGACAGGCAATAAACAACAATAACCAAAAAAAAACAACTAGATGTAGTTTGTCAGGTGGAATAGAGAACAGGGAAGCAGGGTAAGAGGGAAGGGCAATGCCTGTGGGAGCTAGTATTTTATATAGGGTAGTTGGGCAAGACCCAGTGATATGGTGACATTTGAGCAGAGGAAGTAAGGATATTTGGGTGACGAGAATTTCAATTAGAGTCTTTCAAGAACAACAAAAGCGCAAAGAACCTTAAGACAGGAGCTTGTGTGCTGTATTCAAAGAATGACAAGGGTACATGAGTCTGCAGATGAGTGAACAAAGGGTAGAGTAATCAGAAAGGTAGCCAAGGAGGGCCGGCCGAGTGGCTCAGTTAGTTAAGAGCTTGCTCAAGAGTGTGAGCTCTGAGCAACAGGGACGCCGGTTCGATTCCCGGCCCGAGCTGAGATGCCAACAGGTGGCAGGATGGCTCAGCTAAAAAAAAAAAAAGTGTAACGTATCCAAGGACCAGGTCAAGGCTTTGTCAGTTATTTTAAGGCCATGACTTTTAGTAAGATGGCAAGAAGGCATTTGAGAGTTTTAAGTGAAAGAATGGCATGATCTAAGTTGTGTTTTTAAAGGATTGCTGTGGCTATGGGTTGAGAACAGAGTGTAGCTAGAAAAGGGTGGGAATAGGGAGATCATTTAAGAAGTTGGTGCCACAATCCAGACAAGAGATGATGGTGGCTTAGACCAGGGTGGCATTGGTAGAGGCAGTGAGAAATGTTCTGATTGTGGATATGCTTTGAAGGGGGATTTGTTAGAGTTTACCATTGGCTCAAATGTAGGGTATACAGAAAGAGCAGAGTCAAGGGAGATCTCCAGATTTCTCGGGTCAGCAACTGGAAATTATAGAGATGCCATTAACTGAACTGGAAAGGAGTACAGGTGAAGCAGGTGTTTTTGCTTCTGTTTTTCAGGTGTGCTGGGCCAGGAATTCTATTTTGGACAGGTTTCAATTGAGATCCCTGTTAAGATACCCAAGTGAAAGTGTTGAGGCAGAGGTTAGGAGTTCAGTGGAGATGCTGGGCTGAAGATACAGATTTGGGAATTGTTGGCATTAGATGGCATTTAAAGCTGTTATACTGAATGAAGTCACGTAGAGAATGAGAATAAATCAGGGTTTGGAGGGGTTGCATTTGGAGGCAGATAAGTCTTTGTTGTGGGGACTGTCCTATACATTGTAGTATGTTGAGCAGCATCCCTGGCATCTACCCACTACACACCAGTAGTGCACGCACACGCACGTGTGCACACGCACATTCAGGTGTGACAAGCAAAAATCCAGATACTGCTATATGTCCTTGGGGAGTGAGGCAGAATGGCCCCCAGTTGAGAACCACCGTGTAGATGAGGGAAGAGAAGAGGCCTGAGGACTGAACCCTGGGGCACTCCAATATTTAGGCAGAAGAGGATCCAATAAAGGAGACCAAGTAGGACTAGCTAGTAAGGTAAGAGTTGAACAAAAAGAGTGGTGCCAGCAACTAAGGGAGCTATTTCAAGGTGGAGGAGACTGAAAAACTGCTAAATGCTACATATAAGTCAGAGAAATGAAAATTGGTCTTGCACCATGGAGGTCACTGGTGACCTTGTCAAGAACTGCTCCAGTAGTGCCCAAGTGGAGTGGGTTTGGGGGTAGAGAGGGGGTTGTGAGTGTAGAACAACTCTCTCAAGGAGCATTGCTATAAGGGAAACAGCGAAATGGTAGCAGGAAGGCAATGGAGGCTATAGGGGAAATACAGTATGTTTATATGCTGTCAAGGGTAACTAGTAGAGGAGAAGAATTGAAGAAACTGAGAAAGTGAGGCATTAGAAAACACATCGATGTTGAAATCATTCAGAATTATAGCAGGAGAAGTGAGAGGAAGCCAGGAGCTGAAGTCTTCAAGCAGTGAGAGAGATCTGTAGATCACTGCTGTGAGGACGGTAGCAGGTGGTATCTGATTGCACTTCAGAGCTGAGTGGTTTGGGCCAGGAGGGCGGAACAGTGACCTAGAGAGGCAATGGGAAGCAAGTGGGCTATCTGCGCCCTACCCTGAGGCCCCACTACAAGGAGCATGGTAGAGACAGCTACCACCGTTAGAGAGGGCTCTGGGGAATAATGTTCTCTGGGAAGATCTAGACCCCAACTTAAACCATGAGGCAGGAAGGTGAAGTGATTGTTCAGAGATGAGGGTGAAGATTCAGAAAATTGTGCTGATGACGCCACACCATGAGTTAGTTACCAGAAGCACAGCAGCTCTAGGGACTCATCAGAGCTCCAGTGGTGCTCCAGGGTTTTGCAAGTAGATAAGATGTGCTTTGGGAGAATGTGTACAGTGAGCAGAGAAGATGACCCAGGATTGAGGTTTGAGAACTAATATGTAGGGGTCAAGTCAAGGAGAAGAAGAGGGAGTGCCCGGAAATATGGGTGTAGAACCAGGAGAGGGTAGTATGGAAGTCAAGAGAAGAGACTTTTATGGTCAAGTATGTGAATTGCTGCAAAGAGGACAAGTAAGAAAAGGAATGAAGAAGAGTCCTTTGGAACTGGTCTGGTGACTTTGGTAAGAGGGTATGAGAGAGGTGAGACAGCTTAGCCATGGAGATGATTGGAGAAAATGTGCTAGCTAGATGGGGGCCAGAATGGGGTGATGGAAAGGGACAGGCCTGGGAAGAGCATATTTGAATGTTAATGGAAGGTTCTCCAAGGAGAGATGGATGCAAGAGGGCTATACTTGAGAAAGTCAGAGATTGGCCTTTAAGTGCTGGAAGGAGGCCTGCTCTTTGGAGGAGGATGTGGGTAATATGGTAGATGAGGTGATGGGAAGTTAGGGCATTCCCAGCTTGGTGCTTTCTGTGGTTCCAGAGCTACCCCATGGCAGAGTTGCACCTGAGGAAGAGTCTGCCCTGCATTGTAGCAGGAAGAAGTAACAGAAGTAATGGAAGGGGAAATACCCATGTTTATTGAGGACACTGTAGTTTGGGGCTGGAGTTATGTTTGTGGCGGCCACATTCCACCACACATAATGGGGTGGGGTGGCATTAATTTTCATTATAGTGGAGTTTAATTGCATTGAATATTGTTCTAAATAATGGACTATCAAGTTTGGAAATGCATCCACTCAACAGAGTAAAAAAATAAGATTTGAATTTTATATTATGCTGAGTTTTGTAAATCTATATAATGTGGTGGTTTGGAATGTAAAAATTGGTCTGAACATGTTTATCCAAAATTTTCAAATTGGGAGAGTTCACCTGGAAACTGTTTCCATATACGAGGTTGCACAATCAAGTTCGCGAACTCAGCCTAGTAAAAGTGCTACACACCTCATTGCTGAATATCACTACGGTCACCTTCGAAGTACTCCCCTTAGGAAGCTATGCACTAACGCCAACACCTAGTCCACCCTTCAAAGCAATTTTTTTCTTTTTAAATATCTTTTTTTTTTTTTTTAAATTAGGGAACAGTGTGTTTTTTCCAGGACCCATCAGCTCCAAGTCAAGTAGTTGTTTCAATTTGTTGTGGAGGGCACAACTCCATGGCCCATGTTGGGACTGAACCGGCAACCTTGGTGTTATGAGCACTGCGCTCTAACCAACTGAGCTAACCGGCCGCCCCATTGAAAGCAATTTTGTAACTCTTTCTCTGGAATGGCCATCAGAGCTGTCGTCGTATTACCCTTGATGTCCTGAATGTCATCAAAATGTCTTCCTTTCAGTATTTCCTTGGGGTAAAGAAAGAAGTCACTGGGGACCAGATCAGGTGAGTAGGGAGGGTGTTCCAATGCAGTTATTTGTTTACTGGCTAAAAACTCCCTCACAGACAGTGCCGTATGAGCTGGCACATTGTCATGATGCAAGAGCCATGAATTGTTGGTCATCTAACTTTTTCACTCAGCCTTTTCAGCACTTCCATATAGTAAACTTGGTTAACTGTTTGTCCAGTGGGTACAAATTCATAATGAATAATCCCTCTGATATCAAAAAAGGTTAGCAACATCGTTGCAACAAGTTCGTGAACTTAATTGTCAGACCTCGTATTTCAGTGCAACGATCAGCAAGAAAATCATAAACTTTTAAAACAAATGTCGTTTTGGTTTTTGTTTTTAACAGGAAGACCTCCGGAGATACACTGGAGCTGGTGGAAGAGTCACTGGATATAAATCTGCTGAATAATGCAGTTCGCCTCAAATTCCAAAATTGCAGCCTCTTACCTGGAGGAGTTCATGTCTCTGAGACTGACACTCATGTGATAATCTTGATAGTAACCAATCAAACAGTGCACAGGTTGCTTTTACCACACCCTTCCCGGATGTATAGGAGTGTAAGTTGGTTAAGTCCTTTATTTCCTAGATTCCTCTGGCTCGCACACGTGAGTACTGGAGGATAGCCTTTGGAATTGAAGGAGGTTTGGATTCCTTGTTAGCCCTGACCACGCACGCTTTAACAGATACTGTTGAAATGATCAGACATGTTGTAAGTTGAAGAAATAGTTTTCATTAAAAAGAATAGCTTTCTTTTTAAGCTAGATAAGTTTTTCCTTTAAAAGCTTTGGTAGCAGTTGAGGAGCTGTGCAAAATTCAGTTTATCCTGATTTAACCGATCTTTCTTTTTAATTCCTTCACAGGATTTGGTAGTTGAAAGTCAGATGCAGTCAATATTCACTGACATTGGAAACGTTGATTTCAGGGATCCCTGCAACTATCAGTTAATTCCAGCCGTCCCTGGACTCCCCCCTAATTGTACTGCCTCAGCAGCCTGGCTTAGCAATGATGGGGAGGCCTTGTTTGCACTACCATCTGCTGCTGGGGGAGTCTTCGTTCTGAAACTACCTCCTTACAACATACCTGGTAAGAATGGGAACTGAGCCTGGGTTTAACTTCAAACAAGGAAGGTTGGCATTAAAACAAACCTTAGAAGTCCAAAACCATCATCCAACACGGGAATTGCTTCTCTGCCACCCCTGAAATGGTCATTCAGTACCGCTTACCTAAGGCGTCCCTAATGCTTTACTGTTTTTATCCCGAGGGCCAGATTTTATAGAGTGGATGAGGAACTGTAGAGCTCCTTGGAGTATGGGAAAACAGATAACTAACTCTAAGATAGCCTTTTCTGAGGCCTCTAGTAGAGATGTGTTGACTAATTGCCTACCTTCAGGTTAAGGTACTGTAAGTAAATTAAATTCATTGAAACCAGGAAGTTAGGTGGTTTACTCTGCTCCAAGTCACTACTGCCTCTTGCCTGGGTTATTACATTCGCTTCCTAAATATCTCCCCAGATCTGTCTTTACCCCCTACATACAAACGTCTCAGGCAGACTGAAACACTTCAAACCTAAGTTGAATCGTGTCAGTAAACTGCACAAAGCCCTCGAATGCGGGTGATTCTTCATCTCATCTGAATAAACCCAGAGTCCTTCATGTTGGTGGACAGGGAGGCCCCTCACCTCACCTCAGCTTCCCTGCACCAGCCACCTGCCTTCACGCAATTCCTTGAACATACCAGGCACACCTTCCTCAGGACTTCTGTCTGGGATGGTGTGTCCCTAGCCACCGGCCTGGCTCCTCTCAGCTCCTTTAGGTCTTCACTCAGTGTCCCCTTAGTGAGGCCTTTCCTGACCACCGTTTTCAACATTGCACACACACCTGACCCTAGCAGTCACTGTACCCTTTCCATGTTTTATTTTTCTCTTATTACTACTCTTCTAGTCAATTTGTTAACTGTCTTGCTTCTCCCACCTCCCAATGGAATGTAAGTTCCATGCGGACAGGAGTTTTTTATTTTGTTCGCTGCTCCATCTCCAGCACCTAGCACTCGTGGACACATGAAAGGTACCCAGTGATTCTTTTGGAAAGAATAAAGTGTTTTCTTCTGAGCAATATGATTTACTACTTACAAATGGAAGAATTTTCCCCTTGGGATCTAAAAGTGCTATTTTATTGATCCAGTAACAGTTCGAAATATTTTAGGTGTGATATATCTGTGGAAAGGTACATATATCTTAAGACTTCCTTAAATGGAACTGTAGAAGCCTGTCATCTGTTACAAAGACCTTGTTCATGATTGCATCCTTCTTGCCTTTGGGTTTCGCTAAGTAGCCTCAGGAGGTGTATTGGATATCATTGGTCTGTTTTCAATCTTACAGGGATGGTGTCAGTTGTGGAACTGAAACAGAGCTCAGTAATGCAACGATTGCTTACAGGCTGGATGCCAACAGCTATCAGGTGAGTGGTGTCTGGCAGGTTACTCAAAGGGCCTAAGAATTTAATCTTTTTGCATGGTTCAGCACCTGTTAATGCTTCCAGTCTTACTCCAAGGCAGATAAAGAGTGTACTGGAAGAAGAGTCTGCACAACACCACATCCCACCTGAGGAGAGCCATATTCCAGAGCCCACTTCATTTGGGGTTGGCCATCTTGACCACAGAGAGTAGCTTACTGAGTATATGTCCTCCCAATCTCCAGTTCAGCACCCTGCCCTGACTTACCGAATCAATTTTGTGTGATATTACAAGTACATTTTTGATGGTTAGAGCAGTATTCCATTGTCGTGTAGAGCCTTTTAAGATTTATCACAGCAATTGGTTATAAGTCCAATAGAAAGTGTAGTGATCTTACACCAACATATAAACACTTGCTCCTTCTGTTGATGAAGCATGTGCATTTATACTTTTATGTCTTAAATTGCAAACTCTAGCAATCAGACGATTTGTAACAGTCAAACTCTCAAACTTGGCCTTATGTTTTTAGAGGGGATCAGGGGCCTTCAGACCGTCCACTCAGCCTGGCGGTGCATTGTGTCGAGCACCACGCCTTCATCTTCGCCCTGTGCCAGGACCATAAACTCCGAATGTGGTCGTACAAGGTAAATGCTGCATTTATAGTTACTGTAAGTTAAAACAGGATTGTGGCTTGTAAGAGAGCTGAAGTAAAACTGGGATTCTCAGATCACTTAGTTTGAAAATTATAGGCCATTTCCAGATTCAGACAGTTTCATTTGGTCTTTATTTTTTATATATTTCTCCCCTAACTTTTTGTCATTTTATTTTGAAAATTATGAGTCCTATAGAAGAGTTGAAATAATAGTACAGAGTATACCCTTCACTTAAGAGGAACAGATAGGCTTTTGAAATGCAAGTTGGTATAAGATTTTAGGATTCACAAACAAAACAGCTGATAATTTTATCTATCAGACTAAGAGATAATTTCATCTTAGCCCTCCAAAAGAAACCTAGGGTCCTGCAGCAGATAAACTAGGTAACGTGCTAGGTATAATGGATGTGTGTCTTTTTTTTTTTCCTTTTTAAGATTTTAATTGGGGAGTTTTGGGAAGGGGAACAAAGAAGTTGCTGTCGTTTTGTTCTTCAGTCTAGTTGTGGAGGACGTTGCCTCACTGGCCCAAGTTGGCACCATCATTG